TGGTGTAAAAAGATAAGAACATGTGACATTGGTAATGGGGCAGATAAGAAACCAGATAAGAAATTAAAGAGCTGCACTCAAATAATTTAAATATTGGATCCCTTTAGGTTTGAAGTCATAGTGATTGCCCACAGCATGCTGCCCTTGGTTCTAGTCCTTGAAGGACACTTATTTACAGAAATTATAGAAAGTATGTTAATCAAATGTGAATACTTGAAGCTAGAAAGAACCGTTAACTTGCCAGATAACAATTACAATTTGAACATGCTTCAATCAGCTATAAAAAAAAGGCCAAAACTAATAAATTCATATTAATCATAATAAATTGTGAAAAATCTGAGATGGGATCATAACCCCCTAGTTCCTCACTCTTTGATACTAAATTTCACATCAAGCTGAAATATTGACTAGTCTATCTTTTAAAAAATAACAACTTGTTCAGTTATCCCAAACAATGAATTGGCAAAGATGTGATATTGGAACTGTATAGTCCTTTGCAACATTAACTTCATGAATACCTACGTTAAAGCAAATGTGTCATGTATAGGTTAAAGGATCTGACATCTCTTTTTCTACACCCACACCCACACATAAATCTTTCCAATAATCAGGGATAGCTACAACAGATTGCGTGACCTTTGTATGTCCACACTCTGGGTGCCGTAACGAATCGAGGGTCCCGCATCTCCACAAATGTCTATCCAAGAAGGCAGGACTGGCCATGCAGCTTTCAGGATTCCGTGCATCTTTTGGCAAACTCCACCTTTTGGGATGTGTACGCGAGGACATTAATAAGCTGGCAGTATTACCTGGAGGCTTTGGCTTTTAAACAAATGTCCATATTTCAGCCACATGGACTAATCCATTCTCTTTGATACAGCTTTCTAAAATGATTGATAATAAACTTAAAACTCCATTCTTTGGTCCTTTTCCAGATAAAAAACAAACACGTTTTCCTTAAAGAAATAAAATGAGTGAGGGGTGGATTTTTAACATCATTCACTAGTAACATCTTTTTTTATTTTTAGAGTTTTTTTTTGCCTTAGGGTACATGCACTAGCTGGAGAGAGAGGCAGAGTCAGTGAGGGGGAGAGTGAGAAATCATCGCCAGGAGTAGATGACCATGCCACTATCCCTTCCCCTCCATTCTCCATCCAGGATTTTGGGCACGTACCCAGTGTGATTTTCTTTTCTTTTCTTTTTTTTTTTTAAGAGTTTTTTTTGTTTAGTTGGTTTTTCTGTTTGTTTTTGCTATAGGGCACACGCGCTTACCAGAGAGACAGAGACATAGAGACAGAAAATGAGAAATTACCCTGTAGGGGGAGGGCCACGGCTCAATCCCTTCTCTTCCATTCTCCTCTCAGGATTTTGGGCATGCATGCACACATGCCCAATGTGAGTTTTAAGCCCCGTGTCCGGCACTCGAACTGCAGTTGACTATGTGGGAGTCCAGTGATGTAACCATTATACCATCTGCCAGTCCCAACCCATTGTGATTTTCAAGCCACCAGGTCTGAGACTTGAACCACAGTCAGCTATGTGGGAGTCCAGTGACATAATCACTACACCAACTGTTGGTCCTGCTAATAACTTTGTAAAGGCTTCTACAGCCTTGTTTTATTTGATTGCACATTAAATGATGATGTTTTAATAAATTAAAAAAAAAGTAAATCTCCAATATAGAGCAAAGGCATATTTAATGTTCACAAAATATGGACTTGCTTCTTATAATATGTCAGACATATGTATTATTTCTTTAGAATAAACCTTATAATAGATGATGATGGTCTAAGAAGTTTCCTATTTAATCATCTTATGAGTATTTACTGGTGATTTAACTCATATCCGATCCAGTAAAATAACTATTTTGACTAACTCACAAGTTTTGAAAAAAATGTTTCTATCATGTGTAAAATCATCTTATTGCCAGACAGTATTCTTCTGCATTGACTAACTTAAATATTATAAAATAATGAATATTGAATATATTCCTGTATTTTGACTATAATTATTTTGAATTTTAATATATCTATATTAATAAAAATGTCCAGGAAATCGACAAGCAGCTATTACCTCATTCAACTCTGTACCTTCTATTGTACTGTATGTTTAGCATGTAGGTATACAAAAGATATATTTACTTCAACAATATTTGAAAACCCCTATTTTTCCATGATTTGCACGAACAAGATATACCACATGTGGTACAAAAATGAAGAAAGCCTACTAAAAGACTGCAACAGAGGAAGCCTAAACTAGAGAATATGTGTAAAAAGAATAGAATTTGTTAAGCAGTGAATAACAAATGAGTCAACACAGCAGAGTGCTTGTGACCAGGTTATTTAAAGTCAGGCAGCACTAGTCTGAATCCCTGCTTCCTCATTTACTTCCTTTTATACCGTAAATTTCAGTCACCTCATCATCTATAAAATGCATTAGGTTTAAGTAAAAAAAGAGAAGAAAAATTATGACACGGGCCTGAAATAGACTAAGAACTCAAAAGTTATCTGCTATCATTAGGCCCACATAATACATAAAATAACATAGGCCATTTCCTAGTCTGTTATATCGGGGAAATCCTGAGTCTGGGTGAATTGAACAGAACAGGGATTTTACTTACAGTTCTGGTGACTGGGAAGTCCAAAGGTATAACATGATGGTGGAAAGCAAACTTTTAGCAGAGCAAGGTACAGTCTATATCCATGTGGCTTTTTCTTTGCCTCATTTCCTCTTTCTGTATACAGATCAGGATTCAATATTGGGGATTCCACCTTAATGACATTAATATACCCAAGGACCCCACCCTGGGAAACTATGAAGGAATTAAGTTTTTACTTAAAGCCTTGGCAATACAATCAATAGTATCAAGTCTTAACATGAACTTCTTGGGGACATCCAGTATTCACTCACTAAGAACAAATTTCAAAATATGACACTTCAGGGGACAAACCACTATCCAGACTATAACAGCCCATCAGGAAAAAAAAAAGAAAAAAGAAAAAGGATAGGATGGAGAGGAGAGAGAGGAGGAAAAGAAAAGAAAAGGGAACAAAGGAAGGGGGGAGGAAGTCAGAAAGATCATGTCTTGTCATTTGCTTAGGAAAGAAAAATCAAAGATTGCGGAAATCCTGAAGGAGTGACATTAGAGATGTCTTTGAAGGATGCATGGGGTTTTTCAAAGTGCACATAGGAAGGAAGGATATTTCAGAGATCTCAACATAAAATCTGGCCTTGGGTGGACTTATTGAGAATGTCTAGTGTATCTGAAGTGCATGGTATTCGGAAGTGAGAAATAAGATACAAAAAGACAGGGAGGCAGAAAGCCGTAAAGACCAGTGTGGTGATCCTGGATTTAAGAGATTTTTTTAGTGACGTAATGACTAATTTAGTCTGTGCCTTACAGCTGAGATTACGTTGGCAGCATGGCACAGGGTAGGATGGAAAAGAATAGGAGGACAAACCATATCAAGTAGGCGCTTTCAGTTGTACTAAAAATAATGGGAAATGAGTTAATAATGGTTAAAGATGGCAGTAGACATGGAAGCAGGATTCAGAAGATATTGAAGATCCAGAACTCAGAAGACTTGGCCAAAGATATGATTGATACTGGAGCAGAGAGAAATGGGAGTGACACTTAACTCAGAAATTCTAATTTTCCATGGTTGGAAGAATTCCAATGCTACTCACAAAACTAAGGGAATGTGAAGGAAGATCCAGTTTAGTGTTGTCTGGCAAATTCAGTGATTAGTCAATTTGCAGTACCGATTTTAAGTGACAGTGCTCATCAGACGGCTGATAAGTGTAGATCGTGGATTTGTGAGAACAATTCGGAATGGAGATACTGGTTTGGACAAGTGCCACCCACAAACAGACTGCAGTTTAGTTGAAACAATAATGTCCACACACTGAACAGAATAGAAAAAGCAGCTCTGGAAGTTTTCTATCATCTTATCACTTGATAGAGACACAAATGAACTACATACATAATGTAAACTTTGTCTGAGTTTTGATAACTTCTGGTAATGAGCGTATTGTCATTTAGAACTCAAATAATTATAAGAGAAAGTAAGGAAGGGTAACCAAGGTCATTTTAAAAAGCAGAAAATACAATACCAAAGAGGATATGGAAAGATGGCTTTAAGTAAGAGTCAACCCTCCTTGAACATGGACCTTGAATTCAAACAAAAGATTCTCATTTTAAAAGTTAAAAACAAAAGCAGAAAATCTTGACAGCATACTAATTTGACAAACATTGTTACATTCTCCTGTTTTGTTTTCTGAAACAAAGTGTTTCTTATTGTTGAGGAAACAACGTCTGTGCTTCCCATATTAAACATACTTCCAATTAATGTGAAGAACAAAGCAATGTGTAACCGCATGAAAGATCTTCAGTGGTGAATAAAGAAAATGCTAGTTCTTTAAAAGTAAAAGAGCATCTAATTTAACTATTGCATCAACCTAATTAATTAACATAAATTAGAATTTTTAATAATTAAATATATTTTTCAAGACCTGACAGGTGAGTGTGCTAAGTACTTCTCTGAATGAAAACCTAGAATCCCAATACAGTGATACAAATGCATAGTATCCATGCTTTTCTTCCCCTTGCCCCTAACAAGCTAAAGATTTTTTTAAGTGCATTACTCTTGTCACTCTACATTGCTTTTGGTTCCTTCAAGACTCAAAATTGTGACAAAGTAAACTGCAGCCACCAAACAGCCACAGAAACACTGCTTTTGATTATATTTTTATAGTAGAATGCCTATCAAATATCGTTAATTATATCTTACAGTTCTACGTCAGGCATGCGTATTGCCCATTTTTCAGAAGACAGAGATATTTAAGCAATAATTATCAAGGAAAGTGTATTCAATGCCCTAAGTCTCCTAGGTTACCATAATGCAACACTATGTAAAAAACACAGGGAAGTTTGGACTGATAATTGTGATTACGTGGAAATGTTTGAAGATGAGTGCAGTAATTGACAGCCTACCTTTCAGGATGTGATTGGAAAAGCACTGCAGTACCTTGGAGCGTATGGTGAATTGAGCAGCCTAGAGCAGGTTGTGGCTATGATTGATGAAGAAATGTGTATCAACTGTGGCAAATGCTACATGACCTGTAATGACTCCGGCTACCAGGTGAGCCTTGCTGGAATGAAGATCTGGGAGGGCGTTTGTTCTGCCTTTTGTGACAGAAAGCATCTGTTTGCTAAGTGTGCAGTTCAAAGCAGATGTGTCAAATGCCACTCTTCTGTGGTGATACCTTTCTGTCCTCTCACCCTTGTGGTGTCAAATTCTGCTGAATGTCATAACTTACACTAATTATGCCACTATTCAATGCATAGTACTATTTTAATATCATTTCACCACTCACAAAATTGGAGGGAGAAATCCAACCCAAATGAGAGTTTCACACAAAATTATGGACATTAGGAAACCATTAGGCTTTAATGCAGTGGCAAGGGGAAAGAACTACAATTTATTGCCATTACCCTGAAAGGACTTGATTCCTTCTGCCAAGAAAGAATTTTCTCTCCCATTCAATATTGATTGGGCTTTTACTACATAAGAATGAAAAAGCACTTCCCCACCAACTAGTTGTACAGGTTGGCCCCAGGAACCCCTCTGCCGCTGGAAAGGCCAAGGAGATACCTTCTTGCCACATGAAGTGAGCCCTGGGTACTTTTCAATTGCTCACCCACAGTTGAGAGTTTGCCAAGGGGCAAAGAAGAAAAATGGAGGATTTGACTTCTCCAGCCTGGGGTACCCTCTTGAAAACACATTCTACGATTGTCCCTTTGACTCTGGATTTACTTCTTCATCGATTTCTGATATATTAATACTTATTCCCTTCTGTGTTTGACACAACTGTAACCTTCCATTTTGGAAGCTGAATTTTAGAAATGTTAATAAAAAGTTATTATAACAATACCTTAAACACAAGTTATTGATTTACTATGAAAATAAAAGGATTTCTTTTTAAGATAAGAAATTTGAAGGAAGTAAATTTTGAAACTCGCTGAAAATTATAAACTACTAAAAACTAAAAACTTCTAAAAACTACAGGATATTATTTTCATTAAAAATTTCAAGGTCGGGACCAGCAGTTAGCATAATGGCTATGTTGGTGGACTCCCACGTAGTCAACCGCAGTTCACGTCCCAGACTCTGTGGCTTAAAACCCATGCCTGGCACATGTGCGTGTGTGCCCAAGATCCCGAGAGGAGAATGGAGGAGAAGGGATTGCAGCGTGGCATGGACATCCCCCCTGGGGGGTG